TCGAGCTGTGTGCACCGCTCTACTGGTGTGCAAAGAGGAGATTCATTGGTTTCTTCTGGTAGAAGATTTGTTATAACGTCTATTCCGTGTTTACGTTTGGCTCGAGTCGAGCGTCGAACGTAGAAAAAAAAAATATACGTGTCGAATTGAGTATCCTCCTCCCTTTCGAAGTCGGTTATAAAAGAACAGAGAGTGAAAGAGAAAGAGATCCGAGAGAATAGACGTGACTCGTAGCGTAATGCTTTTCCTTTACACTTTTTCGTCACACTTTAGCGTCACACTGTTCACCAATACCCCGCTTATCTATAAAACACTTTCGTGTTAAAATAGAGACGAGTTTGCTGACACGCTGCTCCTCGGGCGTATCCTGAATCGCACCGCGGGAACCCGCATCGGAAGAGTCTCGCGCGAAGAAAGTTTTCCCTTCCCCGAGGTAGTTACGATTTCAACGAAGACCCATCGAGTCAAGACCGAAACGAGCAAGTGGAACGCTGGCTCCGCCGGGCTCGCAACCATCCGGGAAGATTGATGACCGATCCCGCGATCGTTAGACGGTGGGATCCTTTCGGGGAAGTTTTTTTTTTTTTTTTCTCTCCGCTTCCAATTCTTAATAAGGCGCGTCGTCGGGGAGGGATGAAAACTTCCCCGACGAGCCCCGCGGCTGTTGTTCGCGCCGCGGAAATACGGGAAAGAGCCGCTGGAAGGGCCCTTAATACTTGCCGCGTTCTTTCACCGTTACCTATCGCTGGATAGGCGAGAGGATAAGGTTGCGAGCCGAGTTAGCTACGTAAATTGGCTTAAGGGATTTGGTCCTCGGCGAGCTTAATACACCACGTCCTGCTCGTTATGGGTTCAATCTACGCCCCGAGTCCGAGGGAAAATCTGATTCCGCCATTCCGTGGGTGCTACGTAACTCCTTTGTTATTGCGTATTATGTCGGAAAACTTCGGATTATGCTGCGACGCGCGGCAGGGCTGTTCGTTGACCTTTTTCGAGACGAACGCGCATCGACGCAGCTCTCGATTGGCGACGTTCCGTGATTTTTTTACGGCCGAAGTGCTCGGCACACACTTTCTTCATTTGATAGGTTCAATTACACATATACAGGGTGGACCATTTTAAATTCCCCAGTAGAATTTCTCGGTAACCATAGAAGTTTATTTCGAGGGAGATACGTTCTCGTGACTTTGCCTTTGACCTTGGAAGTCACGTTCAAAGTCATTTAAAGGTCAACTTTGATATTTTAAATAGAAACCCATATTTTTGACCTCGGATTCGGAAAGAGCAGAAAATTCTACGTTCCCGTGAGGTAGCATAGTCGCGATAACCCCCAAGGTCATGTGGAGGTCAGCCTTACTTGTTTTTCTTAATCGCTCCACCTGAAAAATATTTTACACGCAACTCTTTACTTTCCTTACTTCTCTGGAAGAGAGGTGTTCGCTTCGAAGCTCTCAATGTTCGTTCATCAAAGTGGGTTTGGTAACTTAATAAAGAATGCGATAAATACAAGATTATCAGCTCACGGAAGACACGGAGGAGTCAAGTGCGGTCCCAGAAATTTCCAAGCGAGACCGAGAAGCCGCCAGCCGAGACGACGAGCGTCTCATAACGTTAATAGCTTGTTCCCAACCGCAGACTTCCGACGCGAGGCGCAAGATATGCGTGTTTAATACTGCTCTATGTTGAACTTAACTCAATCTCTCAGGATCGCGGCCCACCCCGTTCCACATTCCTCGGTCGCACAACAGACGGAAAGCATATCGTTCGGCATTGATACCATGGAACATCCACGCGCAAACATGAAACGCCCCCGCGCATATTGCTGCTCGCATTTCTTAAGTATTCGCGAGCAGATGACCGTCTTTCGGTACTCGAGGGCATTTTCTATCGCCCCTCCCCTCTCTCCCCAAACTCCCTTTACGATCGTCGATAAACTCTCGAACCGACGTGGATCTCGTGTCGAAGTAATGGACCAGGTCAGGGTTTCTCAATCTTTACGGACCGGAGGCTCGCTTTGATTTTTCAGAGATTTTTTCAGACCTTATTGCACTTCTAATTCCGCGAAATAACGTGGGTTGGACGTTCGTAAATGGAACAAGAGGAACAAGAGAAATGGAACGAGAGTAATAATTATTATTTATTCAAGTAAGATAACATGAAAATAAAATATTTCAATTCGTACAGGAAGCAATTCAAAATAAAACTTCATATATTTATTTTGTTAATAAATTTTAAGGGACGAAATAATTAACCAACGTTCCTGAATATTCTTAGAGTAGAATTTGCGTAAGTTTATTATGTTTAATGTTGACCTCGTGTTTCTCGTCTTATTAATTTTATTTTGAAATTGGTTGCTGTACGTATACCTCTTGCACCGACCGTAGTAAGTGAAATTTAAAGTTTCAATGAAGTCCTTGAACTAACCTTAGCTTTGAATTTCTTAAAAAAAGTAGAATACCTAAAACAAAACGCGAATCTATTTCAGTTCCTAACAGTCCCCGCCCTCTCACTTTCGATAAAAGAAACACAGCAAGGAAACGAGTTATCCAAACACCAATTATTGACCGACGTTGATCCTCGAAGCGCTCGACCATCGAGACGGTTACACCCAAGACTTGAAAACGCTCTTTTTTTTTATCGGACAACGAGCCTTCCACTCCGATACCTCGTTACAAGGGACGTCCGTCGTATTTACAAACACGTAGAATTTTTGTTCGGCCGAATCCGCCGCGGTATTTTCCCAAACCGGCGCGCGCCATTAATGGACGCTTTCTTTGCTTTCACGGTAAACAATCCAGACACGGAGCTTGTTACTATACAGTCGTCGAGCGTCGCAAACAATGACGTACCCTGCCCTGGAGATGTGTGCGCAGCTGCTCCACGAGACGCGTGGAAATTATAAGTTTTCGCGCTTAACGAACCACTAAGACGCGAGACGACGTGTACATTGAAAACACGTGCGCGTTAACAACGCTAGACGACGGAGGAAATTGTTGCAAATACCGCAGCTGCTTTACATGTGACTGAACGCTCGCGTTAATTACGCGCGGCTGCGCTTCTGGTTGATACGTGAAAGATAACAACGAGATATCGGTTGCTGTACACAGGGTGTCCCAAAACTCTTGCAGGAGCTGGAAATGGGGGGTAGCTGAGACGATTCTGAAGCAGAATTTCCTTTGCGAAAATGTCGTATGATGCTTCGTTTTTGAATTATTAATGAAAAACCAGCGACCAATCATAGTGCCTGAGTAACGCGCGCTCAACCGCGAAAGGATAGACTCGAGCCAGGATTGGCTACGCCGCGGGGTAGTCAGCTGAGCGCGCGTTATAGTTGAGCGCTGTGATTGGTCCGTGGTTTTTCGTTAATAATTCAAAAACCAAGCACTGTACGACATTTTCGCAAAGGAAATATTTGTTCAGAATCGTCTTAGCTACCCCCCATTTCCGTCTCCGAGTTTCTGGACACCCTGTATACGTTTCTTGGAGAAACGAACAAGTTGCGATTTTCACGGGTACTTCGCGATGCCTTTTTTAACGAAAATGGAATGAAACGAATTATGAATGAAATGATACTAAATTAGAGAAGATCCCCGAAATCCCCGGGATCGAAAGTGGCGTTGCTCTGGAAGGTATCAATTTCGCGAGAGCGATACAGATGAGGCATAGCGTTAAAGTGATCCCCCCGGATCGTCGGAAGTTCGATAATCAAATTAATCTTTCATCCATCGGGCGTTCGGTCTCAATTAAGCCAGGAACGTCGAATTAACACGCAACGAAATCCTATTACGCATCGAATCTCCGGCTCGAGCAGCGTGTAGACAAAGCTTATTACAATGACTTACCCGTGCATTACCGCGTGCACCGGCAGACCTGGCTCCTCGAATTGCTCCCTCTTAAGCAATCCAGCCAGCACAAACAACGAGCGTTTATCTTGTTTCCCTCGGCGGGCCCACATCCCGATTTCCCGTTATCCATAAACCACCATCCGAAATTCCGAGGCACAGCGGCGGTACGCGCGCGGGCTTATGGCTGGCCGTCCGCAAAACCGTAAACAGCCCTTAAACGCGCCCTTAATCCTCGCCGTCGACGTGGCTTCCTCTATACATAGACGCAGGCCTACCGACATGTGGGACCAACGACGATCGATCAAAGTACCTGGAAGAATTTTAATAGGAATATGTCAGTCTAATTCGGGGGAATTTTTATGGTGGAGTAATTTTATTTTGATTGAAAAGATTGTTGGATCGTGGACATCCCTGTTTTCCGTTACAGTAACTTCAAAGATCGTCTGTCATAAGGGTGGCGACGATGGAGGAATAAAACTTTTATTAAAGAATTCAGACACAGTGAAAAATTTCAATAGAAACGTTTTACTCGAATTCAGGAGAATTTTTATGGTTGGGTGTAATTTTGAGAAAATGTTTTTTTTTTATTTTTATTTCGAAGCTTGTTAAGTTGAAAGCATCCCTGTTTTCCATAAGGTGTTTAAAAGTCGCTTTTACAAGGATGATGCTGATGGAGGTATTAAATTTGTATTCGAAATAAAATGTAATACATAAAATCTACATAAAGTATCTTGAATATATTCTACAATTATTACAACGATATCGATATTTTCCATAAGCTCTCGTACCTTTTGGTTACGTTCACCATATATTTATTACATTACTTTACATAACGCGTACAATCCGTAATCTAATAACAAGAAACCGCAGAGCACTCTATCTAACCAGTTCACCAAAATCGATTACAGCTCGGCTCGTAATTGGGAATTGTCGGAGCGAAAAAAAAAAAATAATAACTCTGGAAAGCCCTCAAACGGGACGCAGGCTCGTACGAGCCCTCTCCATTGTTCTCGCGTTCCCAGTTCAGCCCCGAAGTGGGTCACGCCGCGCGATACACCCTGTACATGAACCGTTTACGTGCCATAAAATCTGGGAGCACCGCCAGGAGGGGAGGGGTGGATATGACACGCAAAAATATTAAAAAGTTTTCCCGCGAGAAATTGAGGGAAGACTCGAGGACTCCGAGACACTCCGCTCCCATTCTCTTCGCGCCGCGTCACTGATTTATTCTCCAGGAAAACTTATGGCGACGCCGCGCGGGTTCTTGCGCGGCTTCCCGAGCCTGAAAAAGCGGGGATCATTTCTAACGATCCTCGAACAGACACCGGGAGTATTCATCGGCCGTAAGTCTACGATTTAAAGGATGGTTTGTTGAGAAAAAAAATAGAGTACTACTATTTAGCAAGCTGGAAAGATGTAGAAGAGAATAATATGTGAAAATACTTTTATTAAAAAGAAAGAAGATTAAATAAATATTCGAGGAATTTTTATCAAAGTTTAAGTCTTTATTCACTGGCGGGACTTGTAATTCCCGTCAAATTAATTGAATGCTTTGAAACCTGTTGCGACTTTCGAATTCCTTTATAATTGTTAGATGACAGTATAAGCTCTTTTTCTTTTGAGATATATGACCAAGATGGACGGCTAGATTTTAAAAACTTTTGAGAAATTCGGTAAACGAAGAATTGAAGCAATATTCCAAACTGTCTAGTGCCAGATAATCAGTAACTTTCTTAGATATCGAATTTTCGTACAAGTCCCATTCCAATTTATACCAAGCAACAAAAATATAGTAATGTCTCGTAAAACGCACAAACTTGAGACTGACCTTGTGCGTTTATCGCAGAGTTCGTATATTCTTTGACGTTTGACGACGCCCGTCGAACGGAGACAAGGACAGCGAATAAAGAAGACGGAACCAAAACACCGAGGCACGTCGGCGAAACAACGTAATGCAACGATGAAACTTTCTTATTATTAACTTGTTTATTGTAAAACTTTTACCATCATATTTCTGGACAAATTTGTACCTCTAACGAGACATTACCGTGTCCGTTATAACAAATTGAAACGTACGTGAAATTTCCAAAACGTTTTCACAGGAAACAACGAGCGCGTCGATCATTTTCGTGAATATCTCGATCTTTCAAGCAACGACGGCTGATCGATCGGCACGAATCGTTCGCGAATCGATTGCTCCGGGGTGTAACGAGTTCCCGAGCAATTTTTCCCGTGAAGAGGGGCCTCCCGCATCCCAGGGACGATTTTTCTCACGTCTGAAGGGGAATTAGGAAAGCGTCGGGGCTGTCTGATGTAACTAAGGGCCGCTCGTTATTGCCGAGATTCCCGCGCGTCCATTTTTTCGCAGACTCGAAGGATATAAAGCGGCCCCGGGAAACAAAGAATAAAGAATCGCCCGGGCAACTCGAAACGAGTTCAGAAGTTGTTCGGAAGGATCACGACCGCGACGATTTCGTGGGAATGGCCGTCCTCTCGTTCGCGACGACGACGACGGCTGCTCTTTCTTATTACGAACGATACGTGTCGTGTTTTTATCCGGCACTCGACCGTTTCGAATATCGTTCGAACTATGAAACCGTGCTTGCAATTAAAGAGAGCACGGAGTATGAATATTTACGAGATGGGTAGAGAGAATTGTTCCCGTAATTATGAAAGTGGTCCGAGTCGTTTATTTATTTAAAAAACAAAAAATACAATTAATTAATTTAATTTAAACTCATTTTTTTTTTATTTTGACTTATTTAGACCACTTTCATAATTATGGGCTCAATTTTCGTTTGGATCCAAGTAATAATGACACTTGAAAATTCGATTGTTTAAAATAAGAGTCTATATGAAAAAGTGACGAGTTTGAAGTTTCGATACGTATCAGGTGTAGAAATAATTCTGCGTTCCTGTGCCATCTGATCATCTAACTTTCAATCGTCCCAGAGTCACGCATTTCAGATAAATAAAATATGAGAATATAACAAACAGGCGTTTGGTAAATATTTCTATTTACACTAGACTTCTGAATAATTGAATGCGAATACAGAGAATTAATTTCTACGCCTAATATAAAACACTCATGCGTTAATCACACTGTAACAAAATATTTGGTTCGCTCCCCTAACAAATTTCCATTTACCGTAGACTTGGACTCTTTTATACGACGACGATCAAAGGACGACCAGCGGAATAATACGATATATAATTTTCAATTCCAACGTCGAAAGGGGTCGGTAATCGAATCGAACAAATTACTAGGACGGCAACTGGTCTGGAACAGAATTTTCTTAGATATCGAATTCCAATTACATCCGTCCCCGTCGTTAAATCACGTCCGACGGGATCCCGTCCTGATCTCTCGACGATAACGATCGCCTGTCCCCATTTTTATCTAATAACGCAATTCGTTTAAAACTCGTTACCTCCCAGCGGCCGTTCATCGCCGTCTACGTCGCGACCGCTTCCACCGATCGCCTCCAATCGTTTCGATGCGCGGAATAATTCAACGCGCCTAACGAACCTCGGCCGAGAAAAGGCAGTCGCGAATTAACCCTGCGACGCGTAATACGCCCCCATCAGGAACGCGATCGAAAGAAATATCGCGAAGATCGAGAGAAATATCGGAAAGATTTTTACACGCGATTTCTTCGTGTGGAGACATTGGCAAAATGTGTTTTAACAAGGCTACCCGGCTAGCAGGCCCGTGCCTTGGGAATCAATAGAAATCATCCCCTACGAATTCAACACCAGAGTTACTTTCCTCTCGGAACTGGCGCAGTCGGTGTCTGTCCGCGGCGCGTGACTCCTGATGAACGGTGGCGTCGCGTGTCGCGTCCTGGTCGACAGTGGAACAATCCTCCTCCACGAGGACAGGTGGAAAGCCGCGAAGAACATGACAAGGCCGGCGCGAAAACGCGCCGCGAAATTGCACGCTCTCATAACTTTTACCAGAGGGTGAAAAGTGGATTGCCCTCGAGCTGAAAAGTCCTCGTTGACGACGAATGTATTAACCTTATTAGAACTACAATCAGTAGCCTTCGGAAAAATCTGGGTTGATTTACGTTTTCGAAATGTGTGTTTATTTTGAAGCCGAGAGTGATCAGAGGAGCTTTTCGATGAGATGAAAATTAAGTTGAATAATTTCATTTGTTTCTTTTCTTGCATATGGATTCTTTGAATAGGGGATACTACACGGGCTTGAAAAATTATTCTTTTGGATCCTTCGAAGTTTCTTGATGATTATGATAAAAATACAGACCACACTTTCGGCATCGACGCGACAGTTAATTCTTGCAACCCATCCCCTGGCGATTATTAATTTACAGAGATGACCGCTAGTGGAGGACTCGAGTCAAGGACAGAGAGTACCGCGCGACAGGCGAATTATAATCGGTCGTTCGCGATCGACAGCTCGACTCGAAATGTTGTTTACGTATCTTTTTTTTTTTCTTCTCGAATGTAAAATCAATTTAACCGGGAGTCTTCGCCGTCGGAACTCGATTAAGAGCACTCGTATCCCTCTTCCTGTATGGCTCGCTCGATTACGACATTACCGTAAATTTGCTCCGGTAACCTCGTTACTTTAACAATATGCCGCGAGATTGAAAATACGCGCGGAAAAAGGCCGCGCGTGTCTGACGAGGACGCGGAAGAAGTTTTCGCGCGACGTCGATTGTCGATGGCAGGTAACTGGCTGAAAAAACGAACGGGGGTTGGTTCTCCGGGGGAGGGTTGAGGGGAGGGCGACGGCGGCGTGGGGCGAAGGGAAAGAAAGCGGCAGAAGCAGCGCGGTGAGATCTCTGGCAATTTGTCTTATCCTCTTTCTCTGCTCCCTTTCTGTCCCGTGGCTTCTCTTCGTCCCTCGCTCGCCACTTTCCTCTTTCTGCTTTAACGGAGGGTAGTGTGCCTATCGATCCAGCGGGTCCTTCGAAGGGTGTGGTTGTGTTGCTCGGCGTCGCGACGCCTATGCCCCCTCGACGCTTCGTCCCCCGCGTCATCCACGTTCTCGGCTCTCTTTCTCTCGTTCGACGACTTCGAGACGGGATCGCCACGTGGTCTCGCGTGCACGCGTTTCGACTCTTCGCGAGAATTTCGGTGGTTTTTAAACGTTGGATTAAGGGTTAAAAGGGGTTAGAAAAAAGGGCGAGGGAAAGAGGTTCGAGTGGTGAGATGATCCTGTGGTGCAATGGTAAATAAAATTAAACGTAGGATCGAGTATCGAGGTTCTATTTAACAAAAATGAAATATGGTTTAGAAAATAAGGGTAGCGAATTGTTCACAGAATTCTCAGAAAGCATAAAT